TATTAATAGTTAATATTTATTTATGACCAATACTTATTTATTTATAATAAATAATAATCAATATTAATATGAGTTATAATTAGAGAAACTAACAATATGCTCCAAAAATGCGACTCCAAATAGCGTTTCAACAAACTAGCTTATGAGCTAACTTATGCCTATATACAAACATATAATTAAAAATAAGCCAACTTTTATATTTCACAAATAACGCCTTAGACTATTTTATATTTAACATCTAACTATCAACCAGGGGCGGACACAGTAGGCAAAAGGTGGGGGGAAGGGACCCCAGTCAAAAACTTAAAAAAGAAAATTACTAGGTTAAAATTTAGGTTTTACATGATTTACATTTCACTTCTCCCATTACATTTTTCCACGGGCCCCCAACCCCAATCGAAATCGTTACTCTAACCAAAAAAATCTATTGAAATCAATCAAAAAAACCAAAAAAGTTATTTGAAATCGACAAAAACACTAAAAAATCCCTCAAAATCAACCAAAAAACTTTAAAAATCCATCGAAATATTGTAATTAGGTTAAAAACACATCGACGACTTTATGGGCCTTTAGTCTACCTTAAAGGTGACCCTATTAGACAAAAATTCTGGATCCGCCACTGCTATCAACAAACTTTTACTATACATAACTAATTTATGAACTAGTTTTTCTGCCAACATTAAACCTATCAACTAGTTTATAAATTGTAGCTTAAAAATAGATATTATGATAAATATCTTATCTTTAATCTTAAAATTTTCTTATTTTGTTTTTATTGAAAGTATCTTAGATGTTTATCAATAATAATTAAGCACTATTGAATGTTAAATTACTCATTTAACCTTCTCTAAATGGTCAAGAAATTCTTGGTATAATCACAAACAAAAATGTATCAATACTTTTATTTATAATTATTATAGTGGAGGGCATGTACATATAGTGGTGCATTTGGAGGATGTATAAATTCCCTCCTCCCTTGTAATTCAGAGTGCTTTTCATTTTGAGAGCATGCATCTCTCGTCTCACCTCCATTTCTCACAAATCATCAAAATCCCATTTTTTATACCAAAAATTCATCAAAATCTCAAGTTTTGTGTGTTTTTGAGCATCCAATTATGGACCTAAAACACCCCACCACTGAAATCCCAGACCCTGAAAGTGAAACCCCACTTCATCCCCAATCAATCAAGCTATTATCCTTCTCAAATGGGAAAACCAACCACCACCCGCCGCCGCCTACGGTGGTGGCATATAGAGAATGTCTCAAGAACCATGCCGCCAGCATAGGCGGCCATGCCTTAGATGGCTGTGGTGAGTTCATGCCTTCTCCGACTTGCAGCCCAACCGAACCCACCTCCCTAAAATGTGCAGCCTGTGGCTGCCACCGCAACTTCCACCGCCGGGGATCCACCAATGACTTCGCTGCCACCGCCACCAGAAGCACCCACTTCATCGAGTTCAACCGTCATCCCCACCAAACCTCAACCTCCACCTCCCCGTCTCCGCCTTCGCCGTCGCCTCAACCAACTAACTACGCCTACGGACCCCACCTGCTTCTGTCACTCAGCACGGCGGCGGACCAAAACCACACGGTGGCGACACCAGGAACGCCGATTCCGATCAAGATTGATAACGCGGGCGGCAGGAAGCGGTTCCGGACGAAATTCAGTCAAGATCAGAAAGAAAAGATGTTACTTTTTGCCGAGAAAGTGGGGTGGAAGATGCAGAGATGTGGCGATAAGATGGTTACGGATTTTTGCAATGAGATCGGAATCAGAAGAGGGATTTTTAAAGTTTGGATGCATAATAACAAAAACACTTTTAGGAAAAGAGATAAAGACATAAACTCTCCCACCACCGCCACAGCCACCGCAACCACCACCACCACCAACGTTGCCGCCGGCGTTGTAAGGAGTAATGACAGTACTCATCAAGAAAATGGAAGCGGTGATCTTCATCTTCATCAAGCTTCTACTAATGGGTCGTGTTCTTCATCTTGATTCTGTAACAACAACAACAACAATTAACCCATTTTAGGGCAAATTGAATAAAACCCAGTATTTAAAGATTCCATTTTCTCTCTCTCCATATTATCGATTATTTTGAGGTGAAATCCATTTTCTTTCAAGAAAAATGGAGTCTTTTTAAGCTATGGCTGCATTTTGGCAAAGGTCAATCATCAATTGATCTAAATTCATCTCGATTTGCGAACCAAATAAGCTCAAAATTTGAACCCAGATCTTAAATTTCATGCTTCGATCGAAATGCCATGAAAGCTAATTGTTATTTAGGTGATTGAAGTTGTTGAATTTGTGCTTTTGAGATTGATTCAAAGTTGAATAAAGTCAAAGTCAGAATGAATAAAGCAATTCTTTGTTCTTGATTCATTAATGGAGGTTTTGGTCCTTCTGGCAGAGAAGTAATGAAACACAACAAACTTGGCTTGGCTGACCAAGAAATTAATGGGTATGGAAGAAGGTGGTTGGCATTTAGAGTGCCTTTTGAGTTTTAACCCTAACCTTTTTCCTTCCCTCCCTCTAAATCTAATCATTGCTTTTTTGATATTTAATTAATATTCTATTTTTAGAAAGTTATTTAGGTTATGGGTTATCTTAATTCTAGCAACATCCATCTCCACTTACCCACTTTGCCCTTGCTAGAATCTAGTAGTTGCATTTTGGTTGGTTTTATACATTCTTTTCGAAGGCTGTTTAATTAAATGCTTAGTTAAACGTTTATTAATAGAAATCAATATTATAATTTATTTTGATGTGTAAGATTTTAATACATCAAAACTTATCGAATACAACAATTTACTTGGTAAACGGTTACTTGAGTAAGAGTCATCATCCTCATTTACCGGGTAAGATTCTTCATCCTTCTTATCGCTCTTACCCAGTAAGATTTTTGACCCTTCTCATGTTCATCAAATGAGAAAATTTATGCGTTAAACACTTATCAAATAAGTGTTTAGTAAACGGCCCTTTACTTAAATTAGTTGGAAGTAATTTTAAATTATTTTAAAATAAATTATAATATCTTGAATTTACAGAAAAGATTAGGTTCAAATATTAGTTAGGGGTAATTAAAGTTTCTATGCTTAATGTACCAATTATATATAAATATGCATCATTGCTTATTGACAAAGTAATGTAACGAGCCGTTTACTAAATACTTATTCGGTAAGTGTTTACCAATAAAATTTAACACTTTATTTACTTACTGAGTAAGATTTTAGTCTACCAAAACAATATCGCATGCAACAATTTACCCAGTAAATGCTTACAATGGTAAGAGTCGTCGTCATCACTTACCGGGTAAGACTCTTGGTTCTTGTCTCGCTCTTACCGGATAAGATTCTTGGTCCTTATCATATTCATTTGATGAGGTAATGTGACTTCGTAAGTGCTTACCCGAGTAAGCGTTTGGTAAACGATCCCTACAAATATCTTGATATCTTCTTCTTACACCTCATTCTTACCACACATCTACATTTTGCTGCTTTAAAAGAATGTTGTCCATCTTCATACTTTTTGTTGGTTCATTCCAGATATTAATCAAGTGTTAGAGCAGATCCAACAACCTCATTCATTACAATGGTATGTATTTTTAATTAAGGTTTCATTTATTGGATTTGATATATTGAATTTCATTCTAATTTCATGTTTGGTTTAAAAGGATTTCTTGGATTTGAAATCTTTTTTTTGATTAACCTAGATATCCAACCTGTTATGTGAGCCGACTAATCCCAAGGCGACCACCTGCTTTGCAGATAGCTCGGAGTCACCGCATTTGAACCTCCGTGGCCACAAGGGGATTTTTATTCCTCATTGGATTTGAACCTGAGACCTACTGCTACTTTGGATTTGAAATCTTACGAGCATAAGATTTTGAAATCCCCTAGGGTGGTTAGTATTTCATTAAATTTCGTAAGATTTGTATGTAATAATGTTTTAGAATGTGTTAAAAACATCTATTTTGTAATAATCAATTAATAAAAATGTAATTTTGTATTATTTTTATAAACTATTTATAAAAGAATTATATTTTAAATCCTACAAACCAAGCACACCAAAGATTCCAAATCATTCCACAAAATCTAAGTCATTTAATTAAAACCAAACACCTATTAAGGGTGCGTTCAGTTTGCAAATTATTTTTGAAGTATTTAGATTTCGTGGAATGATTTGGATTGGAATGAATTTGAATTCGTTGGTGTGTTTGGTTTGTAGAATTTTCAATGAAATTGGATTCCATAATTTATAAATAATTATAAAAATAATTAAATTACATTTTTATTAATCGATTATTACAAAACAAATGTTTTTAACATTTCTTAAAATCTTATTTCATATAATACTACGAAATCACGTGAAATCCTGATCACTCCATAAAGATTTCAAAATCATATGTTTGTAGGATTTCAATGAAATTCTAAGGGTCTGTTTGACTTGCAGAATTGTTTTTAAGGGATTTGGATTTCATTGGGGGATTTGAATTTGAAGGGATTTAGATTGGAATGGATTTGAAATCATTGTGTGTTTGGTTTGTATGATTTGGAATGGAATTGAATTTTGTTATTTATATTTTATTTATTAAAAAAACTACAAATAATTATAAAAATAATGAATTTACATTTTTATTAATCAGTTATTATAAAACAAATATTTTCAACATTTTTTAAAACATTATTTCATATAACCCTACAAAATCCCGTGAAATCCTGAGCATTCCCTAAGGATTTCAAAATCCTAAGTTTGTAGGATTTCAAATCCGGACAATTCAACAAACCAAACATAAGATTGAAATAGATTTGAAATACAACCCCCCACCCCCCAAATATCCATTATATTCCTTCAAACCAAACGAGACTTAAAATTTTAAATTCGGACAATCCAACAAATCAAACATGTGACTGGAATGGATTTGAAATCCAAACTCCCCCAAATCCATTTTGTTCTTGAAACCAAAACGGGACCTAAGGGTCCGTTTGGTTTGAATGATTGTTTTTTAGAGATTTAGATTTTATGGAGGGATTTGGAATAGAATGTATTTGAAATCATTGGTGTGTTTGGTTTGTAGGATTTGAAATGGAGTAGGATTCCTTTTATTTAAAAAAAAAAGTTGTAAAAATAATTAAATTACATTTTTATTAATTGATTGTTACAAAACAAATGTTTTTAATATTTTTTAACACCTTATTTCATACAATCCTATGAAATCCCATAAAATCCAGAACATGCTATAAGAATTTCAAAATCCTATATTTGTAGGATTTTAATTAAATCCTAGGATTTGAAATGAATAAAAAATAGTTTTTAATTTTTTTTATTAAATACTTTATAATATACAAATTAAATATCGTTTGTGAAACCTGAAAGTATCATAAATCAATCCAAGCAGGTTCCAATATAAATTTACATTTAATTAGTCAAAATATTATTTATAAAAACATTGTAAATATTTAAATAACAATCAAACTGCTGCATCCAATTAGCAGTTTGGTGATTGACATTTTTGGGTCAAAGGTTGAGGGGTATTTTAGGAAATTAGAAAGGGGGGATTTTAGAATACATTATCTTGCAATATGAACTTTAAAGGCAAGTAGTGTAGGATTTGGGGTGTTATTTAGGCCCAAATTAGCATCAATATTTGTACCTTTGACACCTTTCCTTTTCTGGTTGGATGGTTTGGGAGGCAACATTTATTTTTTTATTATTTTAAAATTTGGTTGGAAATGAGTAAAGATAGGATTAGATTTAATCAAACAAAATATCCAAAATAAACTCCCAAAAATATTTATTGGTTATTGCGTTTATATGAAAATAAGTGGATCCTAATCATATTTCATTATTACTAAATCAAGTAAAAATAATTAAACCCTAAGAAAATTCAGTTTAAATACATTTATTAAGCTTAGGGGTTGTTTGATAATTGTTGAATGGTTTGGTATAAAATGATTAAGTGGTCAGAATGATTAAGAGACTCTCATGATATAGTGCAAAATGAAATATAATTGTTTGCTAATTGTGTACAATGAAATTATGGCTCTTAATGGTTAAGGGAGATCCATAGTACAAAATCATTCAAAGGGTTTTAGTACCATTAAGAGACAATTTTTTTTTTGCCAAACAAGATTCACCTCTTAACGATTCAGATGTTGCCTCTTAATATAACTATTAAATGGTAGTCGTATTTATATTCATTGCAACATTAAAAGCTGGCCACTTCCTAACCTATCTATATATACATTTAAACCTTACTTGCTATTGAAATATCTTCAATTTTTATTTATACATAAAAAGAAGAGTAAATTACCTTTTTTGTCCCTATGTGGCTGTGTGTGAGAAAAAATTGTGGTTCCCGTCCTATGGTTTGTAATGCATTGCTATTTTTATTCTTATGATTTATATTTTATTGTTGTTTCGGTTCTCATGGTTTACAATTTTTTACTGTTTTGGTCCCTTATACTTAAATGTAGGAATTTATTTCAGGAACGAAAATAACAATAAATTACAAACCGTAAGTAATAAAATAGCAATTTATAAATCACAGGGACGAAAAAATTTTATTAACAAGCCCAGTGACGAAAATCATAATTAACTCTAAATGGAAATGGACGAATCAGTTTAAGTGGTAGTTTCTTTTAGATATTTGACTTAATTGTTAAGACATGCGTAAGAAAGATCAAACGAGAAATTGATCAATTTGCAAGAAGGCAATAAGTTTTAAGATCATATACAATTACACATGATACAAGTGCTTATTTTATATGATTAAACACATCCAAAAGAGACTTGAATGACTTACAAGACCAAATTAATGTCATCCGCTATATTTTGGTTAATGCAACATATGTTTAATCATATATAATTAAACGTGTGTATCATGTTTAATTATATATGACCTTTGAACTTATCATTTTCTCGCATACTAATTGCAATTACCCTACAAACATATATATTACAATTAACAGAGTTGGGTTCCGGTGAGAAAGAGACTTAAGATGAGAAACATAAGAAGGGATCTCCACCCTTGATGTATATTAGGGTGAGATGTATTGGATCAATC